CTTCAGTTGTGATGATTGTCTCGAATTTGTGGTAAACGACAGACAAATGTGTCTTCAGTTTGATGAGACATTTGTTGGCAAATAATAACTCATTGAATAGACGTTTGTTTTCTGCCGTCAATTCGTCAAAAATATCGCCGATTTTAATGGACACGTGTTTATCACGTGATTTCATGTCTGACACCCGTTTCGATACAAAATAATTGAATTTGATTACAAATTTAATGACAAAACAAATGAATAGAAAGTTTTAAATCTCGATTCAATCTCAATGTAAACAAAGTCTCACTAAAGGGACTATACTTTCATTTACAATAAACTATAAAAACATTTCAGTTTTCAAACAACTTATTGGTCGTCGACTTCAAGATTTTGTCACCACTGAAGACATACAGTATATCGCAAGCGATAGATAACTGGATAAACTGAGAGACGGTTTACTGATGACTCGTGCGGACGTGTTTCCTAACGTTTCCCCTATCGTTGGACCGGTACTGACATCCGGGCCAATGACACGCAAATGGCTTATCGTTTGTATGACTATTCTTGTGATCTGTTAAGTAATGTTTCCATCGGAACCGTTTGCCACAATTAGGCCAATCGCACTCAAATGGTTTATCACCGGTGTGTATGAGCTTGTGTTTGTCCAGATTAGCGCGGGTGCCATTGAATTCACATCCGGGCCAATCGCACGCATAGGTTTTGCTCTTCTTTTTACACACCTCTGCCGGCAAACCCATGTGAACCGTCTTTATGTGTATTGTCCGCCAATAAGTGGACGTAAATGACTCGTCGCAGCCCTCGACAGTGCACTCGTGTCTGTAATCGGGGTCGTGTGATGTCATGTGAACCTGCATTTGTTTACGAGTTTTGAACGCCTTATCGCAATCAATATAATCGCATTTGTAGGGTCGTGTGTCCGAGTGGGAAGTCATGTGAACAAGTAGAGCACCCCTAGTACAGCACCGGTACTCACATCCACTCAAATCACATGAATAGGGTTTGGTATTCGTGTGGATTCTGGTGTGAATCGTCAGGAATCGAGACTTTTTGAACACTTTGTGACAGTACTGACAGACAAATTCCGGTCGCTTTTTGTGATCATTGATGAGATGGTTATAGAAATTCATTTTCTTCGCAAAAGTCTGATTACAGTTATCTTCGCGACAGACATAGGAATTGGTTGTGGCGTCGAAGGCGTGTTCTGTGTGACCATCGATGGCCTCCTGAATGGGTAGACCCACGGGTGGCATCCGATGAGTCATTTTCAGGTGATTGTAAAGTAGTCTAATTTGACTGAAGGATGAGATGCAGTCACTCTTCGGACACATAAACAGACCGGTCGTCTCATCCCGTGTATCCTCTCTATTGATGTACTTCTGTCTCAACGCTTCCAACTCTTCCTTATTATTGCGCTCATCGATCATCTCTTGTGGTGTCCGGCGCCGTCTCTTTCCTCTATTAATCGTGTATTTTCTCTTACGTTTCCTATTATCATACAATTGATCCGTGTCTTCATTACTATCGTTGGCGTCTTCCTCTTCAGTCTTAATAATGATGTCTGGAGTCATGTCATCGTTTAGACCACTGTTTTGTGATAACTCTTCACTTCCTGTCAAACCATTCATTTGATGCAATTCTTGTTGCAATTCATTCAACACATGTTTGTCTTCAGTTGTGATGATTGTCTCGAATTTGTGGTAAACGACAGACAAATGTGTCTTCAATTTGATGAGACATTTGTTGGCAAATAATAACTCATTGAATAGACGTTTGTTTTCTGCCGTCAATTCGTCCAAAATATCGCCGATTTTAATGGACACGTGTTTATCACGTGACTTCATGTCTGACACCGATTTGGACATTAAATGAATACAATTTATTACAAAATTAATCAAAGATTACATGAAAACCAAAACAAAATGTAAACAAATCGTGTGTTTGTGTCACTAAAGGGACTGTTATTTCATTTACAATTCATTGAATACAATAAACTGTAAAAACTTTTAAAATTACAAAAACTTTTAGCTTTTCTTCCGCTAAGACTTTGAATCGACTGAAGAGTCTTCAGTGAAGACATACAATGCAAGCGGTGGTCAACTCAATGAATAAAATGAAAGACAAAAACAATTATTTATGACTCGTGCGGACGTGTTTCCTAAGATTTCCGCTATCGTTGCACCGGTAGTGACATCCAGGCCAATGACAGGACAGTGGTTTGTCATTGGAGTGGACATTCTTGTGATCTGTTAAGTACTGTCTCAATCGGAACCGTTTGCCACAGTTGGGCCAATCGCACGCAAACGGCTTTTCACCGGTGTGTATGCTTTTGTGGACTGCGGTACTGCTAGCGTGGCTGACAAACTCACAGCCGGGCCAATCGCACCGAACCATTTTGACCGGCATTTTGCACAACTCTGGGGGCAAACCCTTGTGGACACTATTCACGTGTATTGACCGCCAATACGTGTTTTTAAACAACTGGTCGCAGCCCTCGACAGTGCACTGAAACTTAGCGTTTGGGTCGTGCGTTAAGGCATGTCTTTGCAGATTTTTTCGCGTTTTAAACTTCTTATTGCAGTCCATGTAATCGCATTCAAAAGGTGTCACGTCCGAGTGAGTGGTCAGGTGTTGGGTGAGTGATGTCTTCGTACAGCACCGGTACTCACAACCACTGAAATGACACGAATACGGCTTAGTATTGGTATGTCTTCTCATATGAGTTGTCAGGTTTTGAGTTTTCGGAAACTCTTTGCCACAGAGTTTGCACACAATTTGCCGGCGTTTCGAGTGATCTCTGATGAGATGGTTATAGAAATTCATTTGTTTGTCAAAAGTCTGATTACAGTTATCTTCGGCACAGATATAGGAATTGGTTGTGGCGTCGAAAGCGTGTTGTGTGTGACCATCGATGGCCTCCTGTGTGGGATAACCTATTTTTGGCATCCGATGATTAGCTCTCAAGTGATTGTACAGATCTTTGACGAGACCATAGGATCTGTTGCACCCATTCTTTGGACACACGAACCGACCGGTCGTCTCATCCCATATATCCTCTCTATTCTTGTATTTCTGTTTCATTACTTCCATCTCTTCTTCAGTGCACTCATCGATCAATTCCTCTCGTCTTCGGCGCCGTCTCTTCACTCCATTCACCACTAATTTTCTCTTACGTTTCGTCTTATCACTCAATAGATCCGTGTTTTGATTACTATCATTGGGATCTTCCTCTTCAGTCTTAATACGAGTGATGTCTACAGACATGTCATCATTTAGACCACTGTTTTGCGGCAATTCTTCACTTCCTGTCAAACCATTCATTCGATGCAAATCTTGTTGCAATTCATTCAACACATGTTTGTCTTCAGTTGTGATGATTGTCTCGAATTTGTGGTAAACGACAGACAAATGTGTCTTCAGTTTGATGAGACATTTGTTGGCAAATAATAACTCATTGAATAGACGTTTGTTTTCTGCCGTCAATTCGTCCAAAATATCGCCGATTTTAATGGACACGTGTTTATCACGTGATTTCATGTCTGACACCCGTTTCAATACAAAATAATTTAATTTTATTACAAACTTAACCACAAATTGATGACAAAATCAATTTTGACAGCAGTTTTAAATGCGAGACTCAATGTAAACAACAATAGTGTGACTGAAAGGGACTGTCGTATGATTGCCAACACATAGACAACCCATAGCTGTAGTGAACTGTAAAAAGTCGTTAAAAAAGTTTTGCCACAAAAACAAGCACTCAATACAACTGTAAGACTCTTGTCATACATATGACACCAATTGGTCCACAACTTTGCCATCACATCCACCCCCAGACACTACTTGCGCTTATTTGCATGGATAGCAAACAGAGGGTTGTGTCCATCGATTTGGATGAAGACAGCGATGAAGAGGTGGCCGCACAGGGAGTCTGCAAGAGTTGCGCCGATCATCGGCGGTGTCAACCGTTGAAAGCAAAGGCAAAGGCAGACCGGCGTTCACTCCCGAAGAATGGCCACAAACACAATATGAAGACAAAAGGTGACCGAGAAGTGACAGTAATTCCCATCGAAATCACACACGACTTGAATGGTCCCAAACGGGTCTACAATCTGTATATTGAGAGCAACGAGAGGGTGACCGTCAAGTTCTACAAGAGTGTCACATCCGATGGTGATGTCGATGGCAGCGATTGATATTTGTTTATTGGTTTATTGATTTTGTATTTTTATAGTATTTTCATTATTTCATACTTACTGTAAATCTTAAATTAATACGTTTTGTTAATATTTGAATAGTTTAATTACTTACCGTAATATTAATAGCTTTCATAGTTAGTTATAAGTTATAACTTATAACTTATAACATAAATACTTTAATACTGTATAATGTATTTGATTTAACTTAGGGTTATCATAAAAAGTAATTTAAAACTTTCTAAAAAATAATAGAATATTCCGATATTTAGTGTTAATTCTTGGACTTTTAATTATTAACATGATTATGTATAATATTATTATACTATTATTAAAAATATTATTTAATTGATAATCTATAATGTTGTAAGATATCAATAAAAAATAAAATATTTTTTAAAACCTTGTTACAATTAATAAAAAATTACTCAATAACAAAAACGGAAATATATTATAACGTTTGATATTTTTAACAGTTATTTAGATTTTTGTAAATATACATCAATATAATATTAAACTAAATTTTATAATTCTTACTAAAAGTAATTAATTTTATTGATTCAAATTTTATTCATAGAATTACGGAACCGTTTGCCACAGTTGGGCCAATCGCACGCAAACGGCTTTTCACCGGTGTGTATGCTTTTGTGGACTGCGGTACTGCTAGCGTGGCTGACAAACTCACAGCCGGGCCAATCGCACCGAACCATTTTGACCGGCATTTTGCACAACTCTGGGGGCAAACCCTTGTGGACACTATTCACGTGTATTGACCGCCAATACGTGTTTTTAAACAACTGGTCGCAGCCCTCGACAGTGCACTGAAACTTAGCGTTTGGGTCGTGCGTTAAGGCATGTCTTCGCAGGTTTTTTCGCGATTTAAACTTCTTATTGCAGTTCATGTAATCGCATTCAAAAGGTGTGACGTCCGAGTGAGTGCTCAGGTGTTGGGTGAGTTGTGTCTTCGTACAGCACCGGTACTCACAACCACTGAAATGACACGAATACGGCTTAGTATTGGTATGTCTTCTCATATGAGTTGTCAGGTTTTGAGTTTTTGGAAACTCTTTGCCACAGAGTTTGCACACAATTTGCCGGCGTTTCGAGTGATCTCTGATGAGATGGTTATAGAAATTCATTTGTTTCTCAAAAGTCTGATTACAGTTATCTTCGGCACAGATATAGAAATTGGTTGTGGCATCGAAAGCGTGTTGTGTGTGACCATCGATGGCCTCCTGTGTGGGATAACCTATTTTTGGCATCCGATGATTAGCTCTTAAGTGATTGTACAGATCTTTGACGAGACCATAGGATCTGTTGCACCCATTCTTTGGACATACGAACCGACCGGTCGTCTCATCCCATATATCCTCTCTATTCTTGTACTTCTGTTTCATTACTTCCATCTCTTCTTCAGTGCACTCATCGATCAATTCCTCTCGTCTTCGGCGCCGTCTCTTCACTCCAATCACCACTAATTTTCTCTTACGTTTCGTCTTATCACTCAATAGATCCGTGTTTTGATTACTATCATTGGGATCTTCCTCTTCAGTCTTAATACGAGTGATGTCTACAGACATGTCATCATTTAGACCACTGTTTTGCGGCAATTCTTCACTTCCTGTCAAACCATTCATTCGATGCAAATCTTGTTGCAATTCATTCAAACTCTTCACTTCCTGTCAAACCATTCATTTGATGCAATTCTTGTTGCAATTCATTCAACACATGTTTGTCTTCAGTTGTGATGATTGTCTCGAATTTGTGGTAAACGACAGACAAATGTGTCTTCAGTTTGATGAGACATTTGTTGGCAAATAATAACTCATTGAATAGACGTTTGTTTTCTGCCGTCAATTCGTC